AAAGTTAAGCCAACACGTTTGTCTATTTGACAGGATGTCAGTTTGGGAATGACCTACACGGACACGCAGGTCAACTCACAGCCTGAGCACTCCCCTTGGCGGTGACACCAGATGGGGAAGCAACTCCATGTGCATGCAGCTCATCCCTGTGGAAATTAAAGAGGCTGGAAAATTAAAAAGAGCTTGTCCTACCAAAGACACCACATAAAGCAGCTCTTGGAGGACCGCCCGTCACTGTATCAGGCATTGCTCTTTTTGTCCAAGGAAATGGATAAACCAAAGAAAAAAGGAACGTCTTAGTTCTACAGTATATAAATTGGGTAGACCAAACATAAATGAGGGCCTAAATAAGAGGCCTTTTCCACACTGCGAAGAAAAGTCAAGAAATGAATGAAGGTCACATCACATCAGCCAACCTTTTCCCATCCCCTATCTTTCTCCAAGCAGCAGGAGAACGGTTTTCCAGTGAACACCATCATGTGACTCCCAAAGCCAGGGAACATGAGGGGTAGAGACTGTTTAAAAGGCAGTTAAGTAATAAGTTTATAACAATACAGTACCACAGAGGTGGGACTTCTCCAGTACTTTGTGAAAGAGGCCTGGATAACGGTACTTGGCCAGTTTGTGGTGACTCCACAGATCCTAAAGTAGCACGCAGGCCTTTCTGTGCTACTTACAGCTGACCTCAGGAACATGAATGCAGCCCTTAGTGTCACAACATCCCTCTGAGGTAGGGAAAAGGTAAACTTGCTTTTTCTAAGAGGTGTAACTGAGGAACAAGAAGGTTGCAAGTTTCCAAAAGCCTGTAGCAGAGTCCATTAGCCCAATCATCTCTGTACTAGGTAAGTAGCTGGCATCTGCAACTGAGTAGTCTACTGTCAGGGACTGTTATAAAAGAGAACGTGAATGCAACGCACTCCAAAATCCATAAATTTGGACTGAAACGTGAAGCTGTTCTAGGAGCAGTCTATTACTCAGATATCACCTTATATTAGACTGATATGTATTTACAAAATTTTCCTGCAACGCTGATCAAAAATTGACAGTGGTCACACAGCACACTAGCAAACACAAAACTGTTCCAGAGCCGCTATTAATTCCAGTGCTTAGCTTGTCTGCGGCCTCAAAACTGCAACCAGGAATGTAACAAAAGTTATCTGTCAATCTGTTCTCTTTCTTATGTTATTACTTTATTTTCTTGCTAGGGTCGTAAAGGACATGGCAGTGAAAATGTTAACTCAGACTACACAAAAGTACTGCAAATGTTTATTTTAGCTTAATAAAAGCCATGTTTAATCCAGCCTTTCATGTTATCGTAATCTACGCATCAGCCTACAACCTTCCAGCTACATGCACTAAGTAGATTAAACTGCTTTATCAACTCTGATTGATTGGAAATGTTTTGCACTACATTATCTAGAGCCAACAGTTCCACATAAGTACCTTGAAGAAAGTTTCTCCCCTTTAGCAGATTTCTGAAAGCAAAAAAGTTTAACCTGAATTGCAATGAACTGCATATTTACTGATGAAAAGCCCATCAAATCCACTCTAAGGCAGCTTCTGCATCCAGATCTACCCAAAAGAACTGATTAATACTGCAGTGCATCTATTTTGTTGTGCAAAAGCCACCATATAGTATGAAGAAAAAAGTTCCCTCTGCCAGCTGAATGACCTAGCAGTGTAACACCGAAAGGTGGCACTGTCGGGACTGTAATTTGCATAGACCAACATGTAAAACAGCTCTGAGAAAGGGCAGTTGGGATTTTGCTTGTACGTAAATACAAGTTGCCTATAGTTTTAATTCTGTTCCTTAAACAGGAAACTTGGAAAGTTTGGGGACAATGATAAACAGGCCATGAAGCATATCAGGGACCTGTCTGATGGCTCAAGGGGAGGTTCAGCTCAGTTGCTAACATCATATAAAAAACAAGAACGTAAAAATGAAAAGAAGAACACTTATGATTCTTTATGCTACTGCAGCAGCCTTCACTGTAGTGTATGGCGTTTACACTTGCACAGATGGAGTGAGTTGTCTGCATATGTTTAGAATCCACCCCAATAGTTGGCTGAGATGACAGCAGTGCAACAAGTCTAAATATGAGACTGAACATCTGCCTTGGCTATGCTGGCGAATGGGGTGAGAGACATTACTATGGAAGAATATGAAAGGGGCAGAACTATGAGATGTTAAATTTAGATTTTTGTCCCGATTTCAATTTGCTTCCTATTCAGGCATGTTTGGGTTCAAAATAGCAGTTCAGCTCTTTATTACAGAAAGAAAGTCCCCTGGGGCACAGATTAACTTTAAGAGCCCCCAGCAGTGGTGTCATCAGCTAAGGGTAAATTCTGGCCACACTGGAACTGATGTCAAATCTCCCATTGACCCCAGTGTGGCTAGGATTTCTCTCCTGGTCGTTCCTTTCAGCTGGCCCTGATCACTACTTCAGCACTACTGACCTCTTCAGCTCCCTTAAGCTTTCCATGCCCTGACATATTAAGAGCATCTTCCCTGGCACTCTACAGACTGGTCCTGGTTATCACTGCTCCCCAGCTCCCACAGGCCCCGCATCTCAACTCCTACTTCTTGCTCCAGCTCTCTCTCTCTCTGAAGGCTGCTTAAACCTGTAGCTCTTGATAGAGTCCCTGTCAATGTTATGGCTGTTGTTGACTTACTAAGGACTGCAGCCACACCTGTGGATTTTCAATGGTTTGGAAAAAAAATTAAAGCTAGAATGGAAAACCATAAATCAACTGGAAAGTGTTCAGGAGCAGTGAAAGGCTGAAGTGTTAAGGAGAACTGGTTTATGGTGACCAGCTGGGAACCAAGGACCACACACAGTTCCTAAGAGCCACATAGCTCACTGCTCCTTGGTTCTCCTGCTCTCAGATCCCAGAGGGATGGAGGACTTTTGGGATACCTTGCTTCCTGCAGGAGACAGATTTTTCCTATACAATTCTAATCTTGTGCTTTATGCCTTGTGTTGTGTCAGGGCTGGCAGTAGTTTTATGAAAAGTTTAGATTATGGATTTGTATAGTGTGGTTTGGACAGGGATGATCCTGCCCCAGGCAGGGGGCTGGACTAGATGGCCTCTGGAGGTGCCTTCCAGCCCTGCTTCTCTCTGATTCTGTGATCTGGGCCCGGGTTGAGATGTGAACCTCAATACAGAATTTAAGGAAGGTTTGGGGGGATGGGACACTTAATGAAATGTTAATTGCACTCAGCCACAACGTGGCCTGTCGCATGGAGAGCATCACAAATACACGACATAAGCATGACCGTTATATAACAGTGAAATTGCTGGGTAACAAATGCATGCTGTAGGCCTGATTGTAACCCATAATCACAGCAATACAGCACATAACCTAATACTGCATTGCAAGACCTGCTCAATGTAAAGATGGCAGAATCAGTCTTGATATATTTAGACAGTACTTAATCATAGAGTCATTTATTACCTCACTGGATTAACATGGCTTTAACAAGATAGTTTATTATAAAGGACAAACCTGCAAGAGAATGTCATTTAAGCAACAGCGTGAGCAATCTGGTAATTGAATTAAAATGTGTTTGTCAGCAAAATGTTGGCATCATAACATGCTAACCTGCTGGCTTGCAGCTCCCTGCCATGGTAAACCTTTTTTGTCAGCGTTTTGCCCTGCACAGGGCACACTGTGAGAAGACCTTATGTACTCAATGATGTTTATTAACAAAACACAAGTACTGGTATGCATGGTTTGACCTGCCCAGTCTCACAAGGAAACCTTGCCTCTTCTGCATAAATAAATAAATAGATGAATTAAATTAGAACATTGCAACATCTCATCAGCCCTATTAACTAGTACATGTCCTATGATGTGCAAGTATTCCAACATCATTTAAAAATTAAAATCAATTATAACCTAGTAGCAAACACTGCCACTCACCCTGGAGCCCAGACTCTCTGTGCTGCTTTTAGTTCCCTGTTTATTGGGTGCTGTTTTATATCAGCCCTAGGTTTGGCACAAGTCGAGCAACTTAGGGACTGCCATATCCCCTAACCGATAGTAGTGACACAGTAAGAAGGTGTCCAGCTCCTAGAAGGGGTAAGGGTCTTGGGGCATGATAGCCCTGTTCAGCTAGGAGATCATGCTTGGCAGTGAGAAGGCATCCCTTATAAAGGGATGAGAGAAGCCATAGAAACGTGGCAAGAGGGAGACTAGGCAGGAAGTCCTGAGAGCTGCCACTTGAAGAAGAGGAAGCGTGCTGCAGGAGACACAGGCTTTGCAGTAGACTCAAAGTCTGGGGACTTGAAAAAAGGTGCTTCTGTGAGCAACAAGTCAACATGGGCAGAAGATCCACTTTGTTTGAGGGTTTAGGTTAAAGAATAAAACTGTGCAGGGAAATAGGCCCATTTGCCTTACATGGAGGCAAACAATTGTGCAAAACACCCAAGAGGCTCTATCCGAAGAGTTGGGGTGACCCTGCTGATCTTGCAGGGTTATGGGCTATGGAAGACAGCTGCCCCAAGGACTTGCTCAGCCCAGAGAAATTCTTTATAAGCATGAAGTGGACAGTATCCACTCCTTTGTGCTACCTGGTTCAGGGCACAACAAGGCCAGAATGGTCCAAATAAAGCAATTCTTAGCTTCTGTCCCTTTAAACAAGAAACCTGCCTTCCCCTCTCCACCATCTTTCGTGATTAGAAAAACAAGCACGTTTGAGGGAAACACTGAGTGATTGCAGGTGCCATTACATAATGAAGCAGTGCTGCTCATTAACACCCTGTGATTTATCACCCATAGAACAAGGAAAAAGCAGGTCTAAAACACACAATTCCTACATTGTTTCACATTATTTCCAGTCCAGCAAGTCAGCTGAGTGCTAGAACAGCTGAATTTCCAACTAGTAGTCCATGGTTCTGAAAAGATCAATGTTTTACTTCTCATGCCCTTTGCATCTGCAAAACTAAAGTATAATTTAGATTCATAACTACCAGCTTCCCTAGATATTGTGTCCTACCTTCATACAGCCAGTCGCTGAGCCCATTGAAAATAACATTTTCCTTTCCAGTGGAGACCACTCGTATAGCTTGTTTTCCCACATGGGCACAGTAATAGATGTTATTCTCAAAGATAAATATCTAATTTGAAAGGAAAAAGAAAAGAGAACACTGTTAAGTAGCAAGTCTATTGTAAAGGGTGCATTGCTTTCACAACAATGAACAATACATGTTAATACATTATAAGTCTACGGCAGATATGTCTTTTATCTCAAAGATCTCCAAAGCTTTGACTAACTCTTTTGGCCTTCCAGACCTCCACAGACCTGTTCTAACAGGAAAGTGTTACTTCCCTCTCTACTAAAATGCTGTCAATGCTTCACATACTGAAATATGGCAGGTAAGCATCAGTGATCAGCAATGAAAAGGCAGGCAATGAAGAGTATCCTATTTCAGTAATTCACAAACTATGGTGGCCTGGATCATCGGTGGCCTAAAGAGTACTTACTGAGAGACCTGGGCTGGGCACAGCAAGAGGTCCTTTCTCCTTGCTTTCAGTAGCTAATATTTCTTTAAAGGAGAGCTGTCAATGTATTGAATATCTTTGTAACAAGACACTTGAAAGTGCCTCATATAAACATTGGACTAGAGTGGGGAGGGAGGGGAAGGAGAAATAATTTGGGCCCATGGGCTACATAGACAGTTTTAGGGGGCTGTTGCAGGCATTTTTAAGCCATGGAGACTCCACAACTCAGCATTAGTCAGTTTGTGTGTATGTCCAGATATCCCCCACAAAGGATTCACGTGCTAATTAGCACCCCCCCACTTACGACTAGAACTAGGTGTTTTTGTCATGAGTCCTAGAATCCTCTAAAAATGTATATACAGGTGAAATGCAGGGAAACCTGGTCTGGCTCCACTTCATGGGGGGCAGGACCACACTAATCATATACAACAGGCTGAGAGAGGGGGTGACAGAGGGATTCTGGATGAACTGCTGGGGCCCCATTTGATGATGTTTGCCAAACATTTAAGGCTGGGGAAGAAAGATAAATCATTGGATATGGAAAAAAAAAAAGCACAGCTCAGCTGTAGGAGTGACAAGCAAGTAAAAATGTATGCAATGGAGTAGCTCACCATGACTTAAAAGAGTCAATGCTGAGGGGGACTAAGCACAATAGGCCCTACCATGTATTTTATTCAGATGGGTTGCACTAACCTATCCTTGTCCTGTGGAAGACCAGGGACCATCTCATAAACAGACACACAACCCCCTTTGTTGAGGACTCCATCAAAATGGGACCGAGTAAGATGCACTGGTATTACAGGAATATGGTAGATGATAGGGAAGAGATGGCAGGAATCATATGGAAGAGTTCACATGCACTGTTCAGAGCTGGGTCCTCTGAGGAGAGCAATGACGACAATGACAGAGACAACAACAAGGAATACAATGATGAGTGAAAGGACTTTGGAAATGGATGGAGTAGTTGGGGGGAGGGGGTGAAGCAAGGGGGGAGGGCACTGAGCTGGTCCTTTACATAGCTGTAATGGGCAAAAATGATGGCGATGGACACATGGGTGTGTGGGCACACAGTAGCACTGCACAGTTCAGTTATTGTTATGGGAATAAAAATGGTATACAGTAACTGTAAAGGTGTGTTTTGGACTGTCAAGTGAACCATACTGGTCACAAGACAGGTTGGTAGGGGTATATATATATATAGAAATAAAAATTTTTGAAAAAAAATAAATGATTGTGCTAATGGGGGACTGCTTTTGCACTTTTTCCCTTGCTGCTCCTTGGTCTTTTGGCTAGGAGCAAGCAAGACCAGGAGGTATATGAACTCCAAGGCTATCAGACCTGGGGCTTGCACACAGGATGCCAGGTTGTCATCAGCATGTTTACCTCATATGGGCCATTTGTTCTGTAGTCATTCTCAGTGACATTTAATCAACTTCATAGTTGGCTTCCATTACTCACATACTGATTTTGGCAGCAGTGTAATGATGGACAATGTATTTAATGAGGTTTCCTTGTATACAAATATAAGATGAGGAACATTTTTTCCCCCCATGCTGACTGGGGAAATAATATTTAAGTAAATTATGGTATTTTATTTTATTGAGTTCAGCAGGACAACAGAGTCGTAGGACTCAAAGGAATCTCAAGGATCATCAAGTTCAACCCCCTGTAGAGAGGCAGGCTTTGCTCTTTATGGTGCTGGAGTAGTTGACCCTCAAAGCCAGCTAGGTAAGGTCTGCATAAGAACAGAAGGACGGCCATACTAGGTCGGACCAAAGGTCTGTCTAGCCCAGTATCTGAGACCTCCCACTGAATAGTTTCATTGTGCGACTCCCAGTTCTTGTATTAAGAGATTTAGTGAATATGTTTCCTTTTAGTCACTTTTCCCAGACCAACCATGATATTGCTGAGCTCTGTCATATCCCTCCCTTTGTTAAAGTTTGTTTATACTTCAAAAAGGGACATCCACCCTCTTAGTGACCAGGCGCCACACACCGTGTGGGGCGGGGGTGGAGAGAGGGGGCTGCAGAAGCAGGGGCCATGCCCCCCCCCCCCCCCC